TTTCAAAATAAATCGCCACAGCAAGATCATAGTATCTTTTCGCCTGGTCGATGTGACTTTGATGATTGTGTATATCGCCTATATTTTCATAAGTTTCTCCAACTTTACGATGATCAGGTCCAAGCTGTTTCAGACGTATGTCCAGTGCACGTGCATGGTAGCCCTCCACTTGCTCGAAATCACCTAGATCACTGTATACAGTACCCAGGTTATTGTAAGAATTTGCGAGATATACATGTACAGGTCCGAGCTGTTTCCAACGAATGTCCGGTAAACCTTTCCTTGCCCGAAATCACCTAGAACACTATATGCAGTACCCAGGTTAAAGTAAGAACGTGCGACATATACATGCTCAAGTCCTAGCTGTTTCAAACCACTGTCCAATGCACGTGCATGGTAGCCCTCTGCTTGCTCGACTTTTTGCCTCTCTACAATGGCCACTTCTCCACAATGACCACTTTCAGTTTTGGTCCCGGCGGGCTGTCCATAAATTCGTTTAAAACCCCTTTTCAACGTCCATTTTCTTCTGTCCTCAAGGTGGCCGTTTTCTTCTTCTTCTTCTTCTTTATTCCTCTTCGTTCTTAGTGAAACATAGGTCCTTAACTAGAGCGCGTCACCTAACCCTATTTTGTGCAGTGCACTGCACAAAATGGGTGGCCGTTGTGGAGAGGTTCAACTGTAAATGGAAAAGATGGAGATAGAGCTAAGTAAAAACTATATGTTTTACGGCTACCGGCTTACCCCGTTAAAACCCTCCAAATATCCAACGAGACTCATAGAGCCGAGTTTTTTTTTTTCCTTGTTTCGTTTTTGCTTTTGCTTTTGTGTTTTACTTCCTAATTGTTTGTCATTCCGTATGCCTGTGGGTTGATCACTCTTATTCCTCGCGGTGACAGCTGTGGGGAAAATTATTTTTTTTATATCCGCGTCATCTTTTTTGTATTCCTTTTTCTTTTCCTATGGCAACTTTCTTGTTTTCAGTAAATGCCGTGTCTGAGTCTTTCGAGCAAAACTTTCTGAACCAAATAAATGAGATCCCGTTCAACTTATTTGTCATCAGCTGAGTTTGAATTTCCTGTTGAAGAAAGATCCTGTTGAAAATAATGTCCTTCAAAGATCCAGTGTTACATTCCATAGGTTATAAATAGTTCTCAATTTCAACAGTTTTTACGGAAGAACAACGTGCTTTTTCAACGGAAAGCAGTGTAAGAAACAATAACTGGTTCTCTGACTGATATTTTCTCGCCATCCGTTCTACTGATTCCCTCTTTTTGTTTGCGTGGACTTTTGTTTAATTTAAAGCCTCTAAAAACGAAAGAACAGACAGCATTTGTCCCTGATCTGAACGAAAGCTCAATTCTCTACTCTACTTTAAACTTATTATTTGGCGAAGAACAATTTTCAAAGTCCATGGAAAAACTCATATTAAATCAACTCGTGTGGTAACTTGGGACTCTTCTTTGTTCGTAGCACTTCCACCCGTTTTTTGCTGTTTGTTGGTAGTTAAAAACAAAGAGGCAAATGGTATTTCGAGGATTGGACTGGACTGGACTGGACTGGACTAGTAAAACGCGGACTAGTAAAACGCGGACTAGTAAAGCGCGGACTGGTAAAACGTGGACTAGTAAAACGCGGACTAGTAAAACGTGGACTAGTAAAAC